TGCGCCCCCGCCCCGCTTCCCTCCGGCCGCCGAGATCCCGGCCGCCTGCCAGCGCGGCCCTCTGAGCATGCCCAGCCTCGCTCCCGCCCGCGCCCGGCTTCGGTGCGGCTGGTTTTTAATCATCGTTTAGGAGGGCTCGCCCGAGTGGACATCCTCCGCGTCCCTGGCGGCTGGCTGCTGCTGCTTACCCTGCTGAAAGAGGAAAGGGAAGGGAGGGAGGAGAAAGGCCTAGCAATAGCTCTCCTATTTTAGCTACTCAGTGGTGAGGCGAAGAGAACTGATATTTACTAGAATGCTTGTTGTGGGACACACACTCTTTGCTGCGAAGCTGAAGTGCATAAAGCCCATTTAGAACTCGAAGTAACCCTAAAGGCTTAGGTGTCCCTGCTGGTTGACCACGAAATTATAAAGATCACTGGAGTTGATTGAGTTGATTCAGTCACACGTGGGGCTTCGCCAGGATTGAGAACCTGCGAAGCTCCAGACCTGTATTCATTTCATCCCATCAAGATATTTTTGGGGCGCCCGGGTGGCTTAGTCGGTTAAGCGTCCGACTGTCGCTTAGGTCATCATCTCGCGGCTCGTGGGTTCGAGCCCCGCGTCGGGCTCTGTGCTGACTGCCAGCTCAGAGCCTGGAGCCTGTTTCAGAGTCTGTATCTCCCTCTCTCTCTGACCCTCCCCTACTCACGCTGTCTCTCTCTCTCTCTCTCTCCTAGAAATAAATAAAACATTAAAAAATTTTTAAAAAAGATTTTTCTTGACGCGATGCTATTTAAGCGTTCTCTCTAGGTGAAGGATCCACCAATGCCTCTCCGTTTCCCCCAAATAAAGCATAAAGTCTTTCACACAGCAAACTGCCACCCACCATGATCTGGCGTCTACAAACCTGTCTGGCTTTATTGTGTCAGAGCTGCTCTCATTTTCTCAAAAGGGCACGTTTTCTCACATCTCTGTGTCCTTGCTCAGTGCGGTCCCTCTGTCCGCCTGGCTTACTCCTACTTGACAGCCAAGCCTCTTCACCGTAATCATTTCCTCCAAGAAGCCTTCCCAGACAGTTCCTGACACATCCCAGTCAGGGCTGTCACATAGGTTCGCCTACCGGTCCCAGAGCACCCTGTTCTAATGGGCTATCTTTCCTACTGGTGACAGGCAGGGTCTATCTCCAGCACCTGTACATTGTTCGGCCCCATAGTAGTTGCTCAATTAACATTTAAGGACTAAGGATGGATGTCATTGCAGTTAGCGCTTAAGGTGATGAATAATTCCTCATAATTTCTCATTTAAAACATTATCTAATTTTAATTATTGAAAAATCCTGTGTTCTTCATTTTTCAGATGAGAAAACCAAAGCTCAGAAAAATTTAATAGTTAGCCAATAACACACAACCAGTAAACTGGCAGATTCAAGATTTGAATCCAGGACTATCTTACTCCAAAGCCCATGTTTTAACTACTAAGGACTTTCTGGTATTACCTGCTCTTAAGATAGAAGCAAGACAAATGAAGTATGAGGGGAAGGGCATTGGACACTGCAATCTAAAAGGGTAGCTCTACCAGCAAGCAGGCCCTTTTGATCCCATTTAATCCCTACAATTACCCCACCCTGAACCTACTAGAGCACTACTGGTAAGTCTTGCTAATAATGTGGACTAGGAAAAGAATGCAAAAAGGAGAAAACACCAAAAGGTGGTGGATGTCATTTTTCAATAAGTTAATGAATATTAACGTATTCCTCAAAGGCAAGACCCTTTGCTAGGTCCCATAGAGGATAATAAAATTAACATGTGAATAATAGTTTACAGAGCACATTCACTAACTACCTTATTTTTCATATTTATTCTGTGAAATAGGCATTATTATTATCTTGCAATTCTAGATCCAGGTCTGAGGGTCATAGAGGTTAAGTTGCATGGCCAAGATTTCACGGCTGATTCATATCTGGGTCTGTCTTCCCAAGCAAGCACAAGTCTTCTGGCTCCACCCCTTGGACACTTTCCAGGTTCCTGTTCTCTCCTAGGTAATGGAGGCTGACATGTACATAGATAGATATAACATAATGTAAAACAGGTAAGTGCTCTAAGAGTTATAAAGTGCAGAGAGAACATCTAACTGAGGAATCAGGAAGGTTTTTTTCACGATTCCTGTTAAATTCGAGGTACTCAAATTCATCTGCAACTGAATTCTAGAGCAACAAACCAAATTAAGAGAAACCTGTAGCCTGGACATATTGAAGAGAGATACTGAAACATGTTCCCAGTCATTATAATAACCTGCAAGTCAATACAAGATTCTCACGGCCAGAAACCATGCCTAATTGACTTTATGTTGCATATGTGACCTAGCACAGTGCTTTGTTCACAGTGGGTGCTGGGTATATGCTTGTTGAATTTTATTGAAAACCATTTCAACCTAAATAAACATGATGAGGGAGAGAAGGAAACAAAGGCAGTTGCTCTGACTTGTCCTTTGATTCCCTGGTGATGCATTTCGTAGCAATGGCATTATGATGACCCCAGTTGGGGAGGAGTGTGTTTCGGAAGGGGGCGGGGGGAGCCTACACAAAGAGCAGCTTTTACTTTCAGGGAGGCTGTAAAACTTGGGGTCATCGTGGGAGACTATTATTAACAGAGCAACACCCTGAGTACAAAGAAGAAGGATTCATTTTCAGGGAGACAGACACTCTGATAGGGTATTCTTTGTGACACCTGCAGAAGCATCTCTTTCAAAAATTGGAAACCTCTGCAGAATACCACTGTCAAAAAGAAGTGCTCTCCACTGCCTTCCTAAGACATCAGACTTCACTAAAAAACGAAAACAAGACCCAATAATTCTTTGGGCCAACATGTCCAACTGCACAGCTATTTCTCTATTTTTTATCTCCAGGAATAGGCTCTTTATCCATTAGGCAACAGTTATACTATCCTATGTATATAACTCTTCTATTTCCTTTCTCCTGGAGAAATCTATGATGTGAGTCAGACTTTCTTCTTTGTGGCCATCCTCCGTTTCTCTGGCTTTGGACAGATGTCATAAATGTATTCCTTCATTCATTAGCTAATATTGATTGAGCACCTGAGCGCTGAGGCTGCGATGTTGAACAAGACAGCTGAGGAAGCAAATTTTTAATGAGAAAACGTGGGGATCTGAGGGCAAGCAGCCCAGTTGTCCTTCATTGTCCTGTCTCTCTCCATAGGCTAGAAGCCTTGTTACTTCACTTATAGAAATCTTCAGTATGTCCCCTCAAAAACAAAGAAACAAAGAAACCATTGAGCACTACAAAGTTATTTTTTAATTGAATGCGTGTTTACTTATACTATCATCCACTTTCAAATGGTTACGCTAATAGAGGATAACTCTCACTGAGCTGTATCAGGCCCACTTTTACATTGTATAATCTTTACCACAATCCAGATATCTTCATTTGGCAAATGGAGAAACCAAGGTAGAGAGGATTTAAGTAAATGGTGAAGATCTTGTGTTATTTTGAAACTCAAGGAACTAGAATAAGTACACTTTGTGGTTTTTTAAACATAATCTATTGTCAGATTGGCTTACATACAACATCCAGTGCTGGTCCCAGCAAAATGCCCTCTTCCATACCCACCGTCTATTTTCCTTTCTCCCACACCCCCCATCAACCCTCAGTTTGTTCTCTGTATTTAAGAGTCTCTTATGGTTTGCCCCTATTTCCCCCCCCATCCCTTCCCCCATGGTCTTCTGTTAAGTTTCTCAAGACCCACATATGAGTGAAAACATATGATATCTGTCTTTCTCTGACTGATTCATTTCACTTAGCATAATACCCTCCAGCTCTATCCATGTTGCTGCAAATGGCAGGATTTCATAGAGTGAGTGAACTATGAATCAACCAGGTTAAGCATGACCAAAGAGGGACCCCACGGTGGCTCAGTCAGTTGAGCATCTGACTTCAGCTCCGGTCATAATCTGATGGTTCATGAGTTTAAGCCCTGCATTGGACTCTGCACTGGCAGTATGGAGTCTGCTTGGGATATTCTCTCTCCAACTCTCTTTCTCTGTCTCCTCCCCCCACAACCTTTCCCACTTGTTCTCTCTCTCTCTCTCAAAATAAGTAAATAAGCATATAGATAGATAGATAAGAGATATATATGATATACGAGATATATAAACATCTCAATAAGATGTTTGGCTGGCTGAAGTTTAGCAGCATCTGATAGAATAGTATAGAAAAGTCTATGCTGTATATCCAGTATTCTATCATTTCTAGACACAGTTGTGGCTTTTATCTGACTAGCTAACAGAATTTTATAAGGATTACCTCATCAACCTTCACAACAGTTTCTGCAAGGCCTGTGTGGTATGAGGCCAAATGTGTAACTGAGCAACTGAAACACATGACTTCCCCAAATCAGGTCTATGAATCAGTCCAAACTGAAAAGTGAAATCTGGCTCTCATGTTCCCAGGTATGACATTATATTTTCCCAGATCCCAAAGACATTTTTCCTTTATTTATTCCCTACTTAAACCAAGGTCTGGTTTGAGGTCAAACACTGGTTTGGGAGTAAAGACCCTGAGTTCCATTACTGTTCTGCCACACAATTTGGGGAAACATATGACACTTCTCTGCTCTCTGGTTTCCGCTGCTGTAAAACAAAGTGGGATTGGGCCACTTCTTTTTTTTTTTTTTTTGAGAGAGAGATAGAGACAGCATGAGCAGGGGAGGGTCAGAGAGAGAGGGAGACACAGAATCTGAAGCAGGCTCCAGGCTCTGAGCTAGCTGTCAGCACAGAGCCTGACGCGGGGCTCGAACCCACAAACCGTGAGACCATGACCTAAGATGAAGTCGGACACCTGACTGACTGAGCCACCCAGGTGCCCCTGGGCCACTTCTGAGATACTTTCAAGGCCAACAGTCTTCAATGGGAGGCTGACATCGATATACTTTATGAGATCATAACTAAAGGCTAACTTACTCAGATGCCTAGCGTTCAGGATTTAAATCTTTTGAGCAGGCGTTCCTTTTTTATTTCCAGAAAGTTTTATAATGAGACAATTTGGAAAAGCTAGGGGAGGTTACAGAGCAGGAAATGGAATCCTTCCATGAAGGCAAGAACCAAGTCAACACTGGGATGAGTGAAGAGGATGGATGTAGCTGTTTGTTAGTAAACAGGAGTCCTACCACTTAACTCATCAAGATCTAGAGTTTTAGTGTCACCTAGTCAACCAGGAAGATTTGGGGTTTGGTTATCAACTTCTCGATGGAAAAAATGTAAATGTCCATCAGTAGAGGAAAGGACGAACCCAATAATTTATGCTTCATCCATTGAATCAAAAGGAGAGATCTCCAAGACATTATGTGGTCAATGGAAACAGAGAAAGGTACAGAGTAGTATGTTTTGGTGTGGTGTTTAAAAGCAGGGGTGCTTGGGTAGCTCGGTCCGACAATCAGACAGTGCTTCGGACGCTCAGTCCAAAGTGTCCAACTTTGGCTCAGGTCATGACCTCACGGTTTGGGAGTTTGAACCCTGCATCGAGCTCTGGGCTGATAGCTCCAAACCCTGGAGCCCGCTTTGGATTCTGTGTTTCCCCCTTTCTCTGCCCCTCCCCCATTCATGCTCTAGCTCCCTCTCTCTCTCTCAAAAATAAACATTAATAAATTTTTGTAATAAAAAAAAGTGTTACATATTCATGGAATTACCCTGACTATTCCTGGAAGGATGCACAAGAAACTCGATGAGTAACGGAAAGACCTAGTTTTCTCTTTATATGCTTTGGTGGCTTTTGATTCATAAGCATCATTAGTTACTCAAAGTATAAATTAATATATATTTTTAGCTAACTTCTTCACTCTTTCCTGGCAGTGTGACTTCTGCTCTTACCACCCTGCTGAACTGTTCTCACAAAAGTCCTTGATGAATTCCTTGTTTTGATCTTTCTGCTTTTGTGTCTTTGGCCTCTGTGACATGTGGCACCTGAGTGCCCCTTTGTTCTTAAATCTACCTTCTCTCTCAGGTTCCACAGCCTTCCTGGGAAGACCTGGTCTTTCTCATCTTTCTAATGGCCTCTCTGCCGCCTTCCCCACTTCCTCTGTTTGCTCACCCACCCTGTGGAGGAGCTACTTGAAACTCAGTCCTCGGTCCCCTCCTTCCTCGACACTCCCACTCAAGGCATTGCAGCCGTGTCTTTATGGCTTCAATTCTCATCCTTACGCAGGGGATTCTCTAATCCATTTCTCAGCTTCTCACTCCTCTCCTAACTTCCTAAACCTGCTGGCCATTTCCACCCAGATACAGCCCTAGGACCTCAAATTCAACAATAAAAAACAAACTCCCCACACTGCCCTCTCACGAGGCTTCTAGCTACAGTCCCCCAAATTCTGCAAACGGCACCATCCCGTGCTTATATGTGTCATCATCCTGGAACTGTACTCTCTCATCCCCTCCACGCAAGCAGTGCAAATAGCTCTCGTTTCCATTAACTCATCCCTAGTCCCCCAAATTTCTCATTTCCTCTCTTTCACTCCCATTCAGTTTCTCTCTGTCTCTCTTTACCGTTTTTATGGAAGCATAAATGACACACAATGTTACATTAGTGTCAGGTATACCACTTAGTGATTCAATAAGTCGGTCTGTTACCCTGTGCTCACCACAGACGTAGCTACCATATGACACCACTGATCACTATTACAATACCATTGACTAGATTCCCTATGCTGTACCTTTCATCCCTGTGACTTATTCATTCCATATGCCTCCCACTATCCTTCTCGCATTTTGCCCATCTCCCTCTGCCCTCTGGCAACCATCAGTTTGTTCTCTAGTTTCTCTTTTTAAACTCACAGATTAATACCATCGTCTTCCTAAACCTGATTTTGATGATTCAACGATATTCACTCTAACGATTTCAGACAGCATGCTCAATGCTGTCCTAGACTTTTCATATACTGCATCATATTTAATTTAATTAGCATGTAAAAAAGCATGTATCATAGGAGTTAATCCCATTTTACAGATGGAAAATAGAGGCTCAGAGAGGTTAAAAGAATTTCTCAAGCTTTCATGGGGGTACAGCTGACACTGAAACTCATGGCTCCTCATCTCAAGTTCAGTAGTCTTTCCAGCCCCACTCATCTGCTTGGTGACAATGCCTTGCTTACTAGATGAATTTATACCTTTGCCTTGACTTTGAAGATCCTCTGCAAAATGTCCTATTCATATTTCCCCAGTACTCTCCTATTCATATCAAGCCAAATTACTCTCAAGATCTTCAACATATTTAATCCTTTCCGAGTCTTATTGGTTTGGATAATTTTATTAACCTTCCTCCATAATGCCCTCCACCAGACCAATACAAGCCATTGAAATCTCATCTTACAATGCACCTCAAATGCCACCTCTGCCATGAAGCTTTCCCTGACTACTGTCCCCTCTGATCCCTTCCCTGATCTATTTGTGCCCTCTTATGGTATGTTTGGTCTTGAATTATAACTTTCTCTGTGCACCATAAGAGAAGAGACAATCTCATTCTGCTTTATAATCTCCTTCAGAGTCTAATATATAAAAGAGAACACATAGTATTTGTTGAATAGTTGAAAGAATCAGTGAATTAACAGGCAACAAAAAATACACATTAATACACATTATAGGCCATGAAACAGATCAGTATAACTTAACTAGCTGATATGGGAATAAAAGATGGAAAGGTGATCTCCTTAATACTATAGTGGTTCCCAGTGTTCCTGAATACTAGCCTATTATGTTTTATTAGAATTTATACTGAGAAAATGTAATTTTTTCTTAAAACAAATTTTTTCCTCTTAAGGATTATTTTATTTTTTATTATGAAATTAGTCCCTTCTTGCTTTTTTTTCTTCTGTTAAAATGTCCTTTCTCTTGTGAAATAATGGTGATCATTAGTGACAGTAGAGCTTTTATTATATCCTCATTGGTAAAATAAAAAGTTAATAACCTGTGTTCATTACTCCCCAGTTTATTTATTCATTCATTCATTTAGGAAGCTTGGCTGCTTTGTGAAATCTCAAAGACTGGAGGCCACTCCTCTAGTCAATTGAACTAAGTTAGTCCAGATTAGCTTCTTAAACAAAACTGGCTCCAAACAGCATTCAGAAAGACAAAGCCAAAATCGGTTGTTTTTGTGTATCATATTTGCTATGGAAACAGTTATTGTAATTTCAAATATGTTGGTATTTTCAAATATGTTGGTGTTTGAACAAGTCATGGCATAAAGGCTAAGTTGTTGTGGGGGGTTTTTTGGCCACTAAATATGTAAATCAAATCTTCCTTTAAAGCACTAGTTAGGAGATATGATTAAACTTTTGTGGACCTCTTTATAAATAGATTTGGAACTATCGGTAGACACAGGAAATGATCATTCTTTTCATTATGACCTATAGGCAGCTGGAAAAATATACATACTTCTTTCTGATGTTTGATCTCTTCAGTCAGGATAGTAGGAGAATTTTGAATGTATGATTTTGATTAACAAAAACAAAATATGGTAGCTTCCTTCTCCTACTTTAGTTTTCTGATCTGTTCCCCGTCTTCCTCCTAAGTTTCTAGGTCAGGGAAATGTAACTTCTTGTTTAGTTTCTTATGTTGTTAATTTAAAGGTTCTGAATAAAACTAGAAGAGGAAAATTACAGCTTGACTTGGGAATTAGAAAAGGGAAAAGCTTGTGGCATGCAAAATGGTATTCTTCGTGGAACTTAGGTAAGTCAAAACATTATTTTTTTTTGCCCTAAGAAACACTTCACTTTTAGGTGATTCAAAATGAAAGCTGGAATTGGAAAGGAAAGAAAAGCAACAAATGGCCTAGTGAGTGAAAAATGTGCTGAGATGGTCCTCCACAATTTCAAAATAAAAGAGGTTTCTTTAAAAATAGAAGCAATACTCTCATGCTTTCTCTAATCCACTTAAAATCTGCTTAAACCTAGTTCTGACTGTATTTGAAAGAATTTTTGTATTATATTACATTGGTGGACATAATTCAGAATAATGACCACTTGTAAATAAAATAGAATATTTTATCTGTTTGTAAGCAAAATTGGAAATGCCAGGAATCATCTGGATTTGTGCAAATAGGAACAATTATCTCCTCTAGTAAGTCTTGTATATTTATGTGAATACCCACATAGAGGGATTGGTTCAAGCAGGTTGGATACTCGTACACTGTTTTTTATTTCACTGGAAATAAATATTATTGCTTATCTTCCATGGGCCACTTTAGCTAGTGTGGCTAACCGTTTAGAGCTGGGGTGAAGAGTGGGAAATGGGAGCAGAAATGTGGGGGTGGGTTCAGAAGGAGGCGGTTGTAACAACAGCCTGTTCCCAAATCCTAGCCAGCACTTTAAGTATGTTATTTTCTTTTCATTAAAAAGCAGGAAAATACTGTAAATAAGAAACACTACATCAATACAAAAAAAAAAAATAGAAAGTACTCTTCTAATTGCAAGTAAGTGCATTTTTATACCTAAAACACAATTTTTCTCTCATGATAAAAGGAATCCATATTCATTTCTTTAAAAAACAAATACAGGGGTACCTGAGTGGCTCAGTCAGTTAAGCATCTGACTTTGGCTCAGGTCATGATCTTGCAGTTCGTGAGTTTGAGACCTGCATTGGGCTCTGTGCTGACAGCTCAAAGCCTGGAGCCTGCTTCAGATTCTGTGTCTCTCTCTCTCTGCCCCTTCCCTGCTTGTGCTCTCTCTGTCTTCTCTCTCTCTCTTTCTCTCTTTCTCAAAGAATAAATAAATATTTAAAAAATGTAATACAAAAATATAAGAAATACCAAAAAAGCTGGGGCATTTGAGTGGCTCAGTTAGTTAAGCCTCTGACTCTTGATTTCAGCTCAGATCATGATCTCACAGTCGGGGGATCAGGTCCTACAATGGGCTCTGCACTGGGTATGGAGCCTGCTTCACATTCTCCCTCCCACGTGTGAGCACTCTTTCTCTCAAAAAACAAACAACAACAACAACAAAAAAAAAAAAACAGAAAAAAAGCAAATGAAAAAATAAACACTTATAATTTCACCACTCAGAGATACGCTTTGTTTATCCTTCCATTCATTTGGTACTGAGACAAGCTCATATGTACATCCCATTTACAACTTGTTTCTTTTACATAATACTATTGTTAATGTACCTTGATATTAATATTATTTTTTTAAGTTTATTCATTTTGAGAGAGAGAGAGAAAGAAAGAGAGGGGGAGGGAGGGACAGAGAGAGAAAGGGAGAGACAGAGAATCCCAAGCAGGTTCCAGATTGCCAGGCCAGAGCATGGGGCAGACTTGAACTCACGAATCATGAGACCATGACATGACCCGAACTGAAATCAAGAGTCTAACTGAGCCACCTAGGCACCCTGGTATTAATATTATTGATATCTCTTGATATTAATAAATACTCATCTAAAACATCAACTTAGTGCATAATAGAATTTCATCATGTGGGTGTATTTTTAAAATTTTTAAATTTTTTTCTATGTTTTTTATTTGTTTTGAAAGAGAGAGAGATAGAATGAGCACAAGTGTGGCAGAGAGAGGAGAGAGAGAATCCCAAGTAGGCTCCTCACTGTCAATGCAGAGCCCAATGCAGGACTCAGTCTCAGGAACGTGAGATCATAACTTGAGCTGAAACCACTTGAGCCATCCAGGCGCCCCTATTTTTTAAATTTTAACCATGCCTCCATTAGAGGATATTTTTGGTATTTCTATATTTTTTGTTTATAGGAATACTGCTATAAGGAACATGCTCAAAAGTATACCTTTGCCTATTTTACTGGTTACTCTTAGATATGGATAAATTCTTAAATGTGAATTGCCAAGTCATTTTTGTATGCCTTTTGATATATATGCTACACCATCCTTCAGAAAGATTGTACCAAAGATTTATGACTAGGATTTTCATCTTCTCATCTTGATTTGTGAGAAATAGATATTAAATATATTAACTCTTTCTCTCTCAAATGTAGTCATCTTTCCAAGTAATCATTTCTCCTTTGATGTAATGTTAATTATTGTATTTTTTGGATGTACTTGTTTTTCTGTAGTGAATTCTGTCAATTTTTCATTTCCAGTTTCTGCCTTAGATGTTAAGCTATAAAAAGCTATTCATCTACTGCCACTCCACCTAAAGGATATTTAATGTATACATGAAGTAATAAATAAACTGTCATAGACATTTTGTTGTTTTTAAATAATCTTCACACCCAATGTGGGTCTCAAACCTGCGACCTTGGGATCAAGGGTTGTATGTTCTACCTAGCGGGCCAGCCAAGCTCCCGGAGTCACAGGCATTTTGTCTGCAGAAGTACTGAGCCTCCACTGTTTTGATCTCTAGAACATTTTTGCTCTATGTACTAACACAAGCATTTTAATCAGAATTATACCAACAATGCTGATTGTGAAGATACTGTTTTCAGAGACAGTGTTATTACACTAATTTTGTTCTTTGGTCTACTCTCTACTTTGTAGTTAAACTATTCCCAATTTTGTTGCGTTCTTTTTTTTTTTTCCACTTTCTTTTACTGTTGTAGTGAGATTCTTTTCACTGGAATTAGTTCTCTTCCGTGTAAATTTACAACCAAGGTTTTTTTTTGTAAGAATCTCTTGTTCATATCAAATTCTAATAGCAACCTGCTACTATCAATTTTCTTTTTTCCTTTTTTTTTCTTTTTTACAAATAGTTTATTGTCAAATTGGTTTCCACAACTATCAATTTTCTTCTGTGGCCACTATTAACAGGTTCCATTTCTCTAAGTCACATTTTTATACCTATAATTTTGTTAAAAAGATATGATTCTCTAAGGAGCTTTGTATCTATTACAACTTTGGCTGTGTGCAGTCCAGACCATTGTGTGTGTGTGTGCGTGTGTGTGTGTGTGTGTGTGTGTGTGTGTATTATTTCTACTAGTAATTTTCATTATGAATTGAATAAAAGAATGATGGAGTCACAGTGATCTAAATGCAATAACTACCATATGCCACAAGAGAGCAGAGAGCAAGATGCTTTTGCCAGTCCAGGGAGAGTAAGTGACAAGGGGGTTTAAAATAAGTTCAAAATTATTTAATTTCCCCTTCAAAAGATAGAGCCTGAGTCCCCTTCCCCTAAATTTGGGATGGAAAAAAGGGACTCAATTCTAAAGAATAAGAAACAAGCACCAAGGACAATGTCCATTACCCACTCATTGGAGACAAGGTCATAAAAGGCATTGCAGCTTTCTGCTTGGATCTCTTGGTCTGGGGAAACCCTGCTGCCATGTTGTAAGCACACTCAAGCAGCTTCTAAAGGGGTCCACTTGGTGAACAGCGGAGGCTGCCTGCTAGCAGTCACATGAGTGAGCCATCTTAGAAGCTTCTCCGCCAGCCCCTGGCAGGCCGTCAGAAAAAGCGAACAGCCTCATGGGAGGCTAAGCCATAGTGACTCCTAGACCTTACCTAGACTCCTGACCTGGAGAAGCTGCGTGAGATTGTGAGATCATTTGGGGTTAATGTATTATGCACCAATAGTGAGAGGATATGACAGTGCCCTGGGGGGAGAGGTCACTCAAGACTTCCTGGAGATGGTACCTGGGGAGTGATTTGCTCTCCACCAATGACATTATAGCAAATGTCCCTTTCAGTATTGTTTCTCCAACCCCCTCGACACACTTTCTACTTTCAGCTTCTCTACCCTCCTATCCTTATCCTTCTTCCCCTCCACATTGTCTCCCTCCCTCTTTGTTTCTCTTCCCAATCAGATAGACTGGGAAGGGTTGTATAAACCATTCTGGGTCTTTGGTAAGAAGAAAACAGCTTTGATGATGACATATTACCCCCTCCAAGAAATATTCATTTCCATGGTTTGTATGATTTATATAAACACAGATTTATATGTGATAGACAGACACTCCATCTCTTTCCTCCCAATCCTAAAATGTTTATTCATTTTGTGCCCATTGTGGATGGGCACCACAGAATTTCAAATGAACTCTTTAGGAAGTAGCTATCATGTATATGTGAGTGTGTGTGTGTGTGTGTGTGTGTGTGTCAGCTTAGTGGCTCAGTCATTTGAGTGTCTGATTTCAACTTAGGTCATGATCTCACAGTTCATGAGTTCAAGCCCCACATTGGGCTCTGTGCTGACAGCTCAGAGCCTGGAGCCTGCTTCAGATTCTGTGTCTCCCTCTTTCTCTGTCCCTCCCCTGCTCATGCTCTGTGTCTCCCTCAAAAATAAATAAACATTAAAAATTTTTTAAAAGATTTTAAAAATAATAAAAACAGCTATAATTTAAAAGCAGTGATTCTAGATAATCTAATTAGATACTTGGTTTTTATTGATGAATTGAACTTAATGGATCCACAGCCCTATATGTCTTTTTCCAAGAAGATGTGCTGACAGAGACAGGATGAGTTGCTGAAAACACAGAAGTAAAGCCTATTTGTCCCACTTTTCAGAAAGTTTGCATTTTGAGATTTTGGTAAAACTGCTTATAGAATTGTCCATTCTACTTAGAACTCTCTTGGCCTCAGTCATTCACCAAGTGGGCCTCTTCATGGGCTACTTGAGTGTCCTCACAACGTGGCTGCAGGATACACCTGAGGACTCTCTCTCCAAGAGAGAGCAGTAGTTATAAAAGACAGAAGATGTAGTTTGTAGTTTAAGTAATAATCAGATTTTCAATTTGTCTCTTTACTCCTGCATTTTAATTGTCTTTTACTTTTTTGGGGAGGTTGGTCAAGGGTGGGGTAGAGATCCATTTCTTTTAGTAACTGGAATCACGTTGCATGTATTGTTCTTTGATACGTGTGTTGGAGATGCTCCCAGGCCAGTGGATTCCTTTTATCCACTACATAATATTCTACAGTTAGTGTCACCAGTTGATGGACTTTTTGGTTGCTTCATTCTGCTATTATAATTATGCCCACTTTTGTGCACAAATTTGAGTACAGGGGTTGGGATTTGAGACAGAGTCTCAGTTTGAGTCCCTGCCGATCTGAGGCAGTGTTGCCTCTTACTTTTTTAATAGCTTTCTTTGGAAATACTCTTGGGGGTCCATCAGCTATATGTTTTCTGTCTTGATTTTTTTTCTTCCAGGAAATAGTTTTTCACCAGACACTTCCAACTGAACATCTAAATGAATATCAAATTATTTGGGGGGGGGGAGAATAATTGTTATGTGATAAAACAATAAAAACTCAAAACTATGATGACCCCATTATAGCATGACTCTACCCAGAACTATCTCTTCTGAGACATGGTAACTAATCACAGTAAATGTTTGAACTCATGCTTAGTCTATAAATTGCATTCCAGGCTAATATGCATCCCCAAACAGAATTCCAACATGATAAACGAGTGTCACCACCTTAAATTTAAATCTAATGAAGATTAGAAGCAGCATTCAATTTAGAAAAATCATTTCTACTCAGTGTTGCCCCAGCTGATGAAATGCTAAAATAACTATTGTAATTCAAAGGACTGTGTTGTGTTGCTTTAGACATTCCGAAGAGACGACAGAAAGTGCTTAGTAGAAGAATGAAGCGGACAGTCCTCCCTGGAGGAAAAACGGGCCAACTGACCTCAGAAGCCTCATTGAATCTTTGAATTCTGTGACACTTCCATGGTTATGTACACTTTCATGGAGCTTTAAAAAAATTATTTTGCCATCATCCTTTTATATATATATTTATTATATTATATATATATTTATATATATTTTATGTATATATATATCATTGTAGTTTAGAACAACATTATGCAGTTTTCACTACAAGGTGTTTTTTTTAACTGATTCACTAGGATCCCAGATTCTTTTTCTTAGAAAAAGCTCTCTAAAAGGCAACAAATTACCACACTTTTTCCAAAGTGAGTGTCTTAGCTCTTCCTAGGTTCCAAATCTAGAACTAAAACTACGCTATGTAACAAATACTTGATAAGAGTATGATTGGTTTCTGACCAAAGGTCTTCCTGAAACACAATTGCATCCTTTCCCCAAACGTCTTAAAATAAAAGGTGAGAACGTAATTTGTGAAGCAAGAAAATCAGTTTCTACATAAAACGTGTGGTTTGTTTTACTTGGTGTGTGTTTTCAGAATCTGTTAAAAAAAACCAACAAACCCTAATTCCTTGACACAAAGCTGTATGACGAATAAAGGGTTCCAGCCAAGTTATAAACCTCAGCAAAGGGAGGTTTAAGTGGCAAGAGCTGGGCACGACAGTGCCCTCACTACAGCACAGCTCTGTGCGAACAAAGAGGCATTCATGAGTCTTGTCAGCCACTTAATGCTCCAGTCTGTCACCAGCTAACCATAAGGTTCCCAGAGCTGCCAGTGAAGTTTATCTGGAAAACTCCAATATGATTCTGGCCCATATGTTTCATTAGGTAGTAATGTGCATTTACAGTTCAACAACATTAAGACACTTCAAGCTCAGTGTATCACACAGCCCATTTAATTTTTGTTTGCTTGTTTTCTTTAGCTACGTCTGGACTAGAAAAATCAAACAACCATTAAAAAACCACTGTTTACTGTTTGAATTTGATGTAATTCACTTTAAGTTAGAAAAAAATAAAATAAAATAAAATCACAGTAATCGCAATGGAGCTGTGTGTAGGCCAGCTCTTCCTTTGTGGGTTGCAAGCTTATTTTATGGCCTAATTAAAGAAGATTCTTCTTTGATAGTTTCTCTACTTGATTTTAAGGAATGTGTTACAGAGAATGTGCTGCTGGAAAAGCAGAAATAAAAATAGAATAAGAACGGATTAATACAATAGTTCTCAACTCCCCATTTTTTATTCCCCATATCACTTGTCTATTAAAATACCTAAAGCAGAAGAAACATGCCCCATTTGATTTTTTTAACGTTTTATTTATTTTTGAGTGGGGGAGGAGGCGCAGAGAGAGACACAGAATCTGAAGCAGGTTCCAGGCTCTGAGCTGTCAGTACAGAGCCCCACACAGGGCTCAAACTCATGAACTGTGAGATCGTGACCTGAGCTGAAGTCAGAAGCTTAACTGACTGAGCCACCCAGGGACCCCAACATGTGCCATTTTAAAAGGCTTTAAACATAAGAGGAAGATCACAGAAACGTAAAACGTAAAGAAACTGTTTATGTCACTTTGTTGCCACCATGTTTTGATTTCCTTCCCTGGGTAAAGTCCCTGCTCTCTCACACACTACTCCCTCCCATCCCTGGTTCAAGCCCTGTGGGGTCCCAGCAGAGAGGAGGCAATGCAGTCAAGTGGGAAAATCAGTGCAGCAAGGTGGCCTCAGGGTGTGAGTTCTACCTCCAACTCTGCACTCAACCGTAGGCCAGCTTACTTCATTGGAACTCAGTTTCTTCATTTGGCTTTTTGTTTGTTTAATTTTTTATTGTTTTTTTATATTTGAGAGAGAGAGAGAGATAGAGACAGGGTGAGCAAGGGAGGGGCAGAGAGAGATGGACAGAATCTGAAGCAGACTCCAGGCTCTGAGCTGTCAGCACAGCCCACTGCGAGGCTTGAACTCACAAACCATGAGATCATGAGCTGAGCCAAAGTTGGATGCTTAACCCACTGAGCCACCCTAGCGCCCATTTGTTTGTTTTTAATGTTTATTTATTTTTGAGAGAGACAGAGGCAGAGACAGACACAGGCAAGGGAGGGAGACACAGAATCTGAAGCAGGCTCCAGGCTCTGAACTATCGGCAGAAAGCCCAATGCAGGACACGAACTCAGGAACCTTGAGATCATGACCTGAGCTGAAGGCAGCCACTTAACTGACTGAGGCACCCAGGCGCCCCTCCCCATTTTGAAATAAGGGTGTTGAAGAAGACATTAGTAGCTGTAAAATTCCATGGCCTCAGTGAAATTAAATCACATCTGGCATCTAAATCTGCCCTTTCAAGCAGTTTCTATAATTACATAAAGAATTACTCACTCTATTACTTTTCAATTTACTCCCTTTATTACTGGTCTTTAAATTCTTTTCCTTTTCCCCCTAATTCCTGTCTTCTTCTGTTTCCTCAGAAGATTCCTCTCTCTCTAACCCCATTTTCTACACCAGCCTGTTTGAATTTCCTTCATAATTCTCTCATTTTCATTAAATACTGCTCTGTCTTCACGCTTTTGCCCTAGTGAAGCAATTTCCGAAGGTACTGCTTGATTTTAAAGGATTTCTTCATTTTCTGTAAGTAGAAAACACTGTTATTAAATCAATGTACACAAGGCATCATTACAAGTTCAAAATGTTAGAATAGTATTTCTAATATCATGCAATATGTAGTTACCATATTAAGCAACTAACAGTTCAAAGTTATAAATCAGGCAACATGGGTTTTACTATATTAAAAAAATTCTTTATTTTAAAATATTTCTCTACTTGATTTTAAGGAATATGTTATAGGGAATGTAACAGAAAGTTACAGGAAATAATATAAAATGTTGACCAGTGATGTTTGTCATATTTGAATATTTTGCCATATTTGCTTTGACCTAAAATTTCTTTTAATTAATTTTTAAAAATTTATTTCTGAGAGCCAGAAAAAGACAGACCATGAGCAGAGGAAGGGCAGGGAGAGAGGGAAACACAGAATCTGAAGCAGGCTCCAGGCTCTGAGCTATCAGCACAGAGACTGACAAGGGGCTCGAACCCACAAACTGAGAGATCATGACCTGAGCCGAAGTTGCATGCTTAACCGACTGAGCCACCCAAGCACCCCCCAAAAAACTTTTTTCTTAAGTAGGCTCCATGCCCAACATGGGGCTCAAACTCAGGATCTGAAGATCACAAGTCCTATGCTCCACAGACTGAGCCAGCTAGATACCTCATGCTTCAACTTTTTAAAAATACAATGTTACAGATGCAGTTAAAACCTTCTAGGGGAGCCTGGGTGGCTCAGCTGGTTAAGTGTCTGACTTCAGCTGATGTCATGATCTCACGGTTCGTGGGTGCAAGCCCCACGTCAGGCTCTGTGCTGATGGCTAGCCCAGACCTGGAGCCTACTTTGGATTCTGTGTTTCCCTCTCTCTCTGACCCTTCCCTGCTCACGCTGTCTCTCTCTCTCTCAGAAATAAATAAAACATTGAAAAAAAAACCTTCTATATATTCTATCCCAATTCCATGCTCATCCTCTGCCTCCATGTATGCACTGTTACCAACCAACCACTTTTCCTCTTGTATCTTTTTATAGTTTTATTACATTTGAATATGTAGTGAATAAAATACAGGACTGACATACATTTTTAAATTTTATATAAATGATATCATGCCATCTTTCAATGCTGAGATTTATCCATGTTCATTCACTTAGCTCACAGTCATTCATTTTGGTTGTTGTATACCATTTTTGTATGAATATAGCACAATTTATTTATCGATTTTACTATTCGTGGATATCTAGGTGATGTCTAATTGTTCACTGTTGCAAAAGGTGTTAGAATAAATATTCCTGTACCTATTTTCTTGGGTATGTGTATGAGAGTTGCTGAGGACGGTGAAGGTACACCCTTAAACCTAAATATGCACATCTAAATTGCTCTCGACATTATGCCAATTCAATCTCCCACCAGCAGTTTATGGAGTTCAACATCCATACCAGCAGAGTTTCGTGTTTTTGTTTTTTTTTTTACCTGATCTAATACGTGAAAATGCTAGCTTGGTTATAATTTGTATTTGTACGATTTGTATTTCTCTGATTACAAGTGAGTTTTCTGCATGTCTGCTTCATAATAATTGAATTTCTCTTTTGACTTCCCTATTCATATCCTTTGCCCATTTTAGTTTTAAGTTGTCTTTATTCCACTTTGAATTTTCCCTTGTGAGTTGTGTGTGATAGGTATGTACTTTTATTTTATTTTTTTCATATGACTGATCAGTTTTTCCACCACCAGCTAGTGAAAAGTTTGTGCTGGGGCACCTGGGTGGTGGGTTGAGCGTCGGACTCATGGTTTCAGTTCAGGTCTTGATCTTATGGTTTTATGGATATGAGCCAACATCGGGCTCTGCCCTGGCAGAGAAGAGCCTGCTTGGGATTCTTTCTCTCTCTCTGCCCCTCCCCCACTTGCACTGACTCTGTCTCTCAAAATAAATAGATAAACTAAAGAAAAGACACTTCATGCTTTCTTTACTCATGCACTCATGTGGAATGCTCTATA